TGCATGTGTGGTGAACCGTTATGTGATGAAGTCAGAGCACAATTTATTTATTGATTATCCTCCTTATGAGTGGCGGTCGGGGACGAGCGATGGTCTTTTCCTACCAATCTATCCCCCTAGGAGCATGCGCGTAGTACTTTGTTTCGATAACTAATAGATTTTTGCAATAAGTATGTGAGTTCTTTATGACTAATGTTGAGTCCATGGATTATACGCACTCTCACCCTTCCACCATTGCTAGCCTCTCTAATACCACGCACCTTTCGCCGGTATCATACACCCACCATATACCTTCCTCAAAACAGCCACCATACCTACCTATTATGGCATTTCCATAGCCATTCCGAGATATATTGCCATGCAACTTTCCACCGTTCCATTATTATGACACGCTTCATCATTGTCATATTGCTTCGCATGATCATGTAGTTGACATCATATTCGTGGCAAAGCCACCGTTCATAATTCTTTCATGCATGTCACTCATGCATCATTGCACATCCTGGTACACCATCGGAGGCATTCATATAGAGTCATATCTTGTCCTAAGTATGGAGTTGTAATTCTTGAGTTGTAAGAAAATAAAAGTGTGATGATCATCATTATTAGAGCATTGTCCCAGTGAGGAAAGGATGATGGAGACTATGATTCCCCCACAAGTCGGGATGAGACTCCGGACGAAAATAAATAAATAAAAGAGGCCAAAAAAGCCCAAATAAAAAAAGAGAAAAGAAGCCATAAAAAAAGAGAAAAGGCCCATATAAAAGAATGAGAGAAAAAGAGAGAAGGGGCAATGCTACTATCCTTTTACCACACTTGTGCTTCAAAGTAGCACCATGATCTTCATGATAGAGAGTCTCCTATGTTGTCACTTTCATATACTAGTGGGAATCTTTCATTATAGAACTTGGCTTGTATATTCCAATGATGGGCTTCCTCAAAATGCCCTAGGTCTTCATGAGCAAGCAAGTTGGATGCACACCCACTTAGTTTCTTTTGAGCTTTCATAAATTTATAGCTCTAATGCATCCGTTGCATGGCAATCCCTACTCACTCACATTTATATCTATTGATGGGCATCTCCATAGCCCGTTGATACGCCTAGTTGATGTGAGACTATCTTCTCCTTTTTGTCTTCTCCACAACCACTATTCTATTCCACCTATAGTGCTATATCCATGCCTCACGCTCATGTATTGCGTGAAGATTGAAAAAGTTTTGAGAATGTCAAAAGTATGAAACAATTCCTTGGCTTGTCATCGGGGTTGTGCATGATTTAATTATTTTGTGTGGTGAAGATAGAGCATAGCCAGACGATATGATTTTGTAGGGATAACTTTCTTCGGCCATGTTATTTTGAGAAGACATAATTGCTTAGTTGGTATGCTTGAAGTATTATTATTCTTATGTCAATATGAACTTCTATCTTGAATATTTTGGATCTGAATATTCATTCCATAATTAAGAAGAATTACATTGAAATTATGCCAAGTAGCACTCAGCATCAAAAATTCTGTTTTTATCATTTACCTACTCGAGGACGAGCAGGAAATAAGCTTGGGGATGCTTGATACGTCTCCAACGTATCTATAATTTTTGATTGCCCCATGCTATGTTATCTACTGTTTTGGGCAATATTGGGCTTTATTATCCACTTCTATATTATTTTTGGGACTAACTTATTAACCGAAGGCCCAGCCCAGAATTGCTGTTTTTTGCCTATTTCAGTGTTTCAAAGAAAAGGGATATCAAACGGAGTCGAAACGGAACGAAATCAACTGGAGAAGTTATTTTTGGAAGAAAAGCTACCGGATGGACTTGGACCCCACGTCAGGAGCCAAGGGAGGTGCTCACGAGGGTGGGGGGGGCGCCCCCTGCCTCGTGGGCCCCCCGAAGCTCCACCGACGTACTTCCTGCACCCATATATACTCACGTACCCTAAAACTTCCAGAATAGACAATAGATCGGGAGTTCCGCCGCAAGAAGTCTCCGTAGCCACCGAAAGCCAATCTAGACCCGTTCCGGCACCCTGCCGGAGGGGGCAACCCCTCTCCGGTGGCCATCTTCATCATCCCGGTGCTCTCCATGACGAGGAGGGATTAGTTCTCCCTCAGGGCTGAGGGTATGTACCAGTAGCTATGTGTTTGATCTCTCTCTCTCTCTCATGTTCTTGAGGTGATACGATCTTGATGTATCGCGAGCTTTGCTATTATATTTGGATCCTATGATATTTTCTCCCCCCTCTACTCTCTTGTAATAGATTGAGTTTCCCCTTTGAAGTTATCTTATCGGATTGAGTCTTTAAAGATTTGAGAACACTTGATGTATGTCTTGCCGTGCGTATCTGTGGTGACAATGGGATATCACGTGATTCACTTGATGTATGTTTTGGTGATCAACTTGCGGGTTCCGCCCATGAACCTATGCATAGGAGTTGGCACATGTTTTCGTCGTGATTCTCCAGTAGGAACTTTGGGGCACTCTTTGAGGTTCTATGTGTTGGTTGAATAGATTAATCTGAGATTGTGTGATGCATATCGTATAATCATACCCACGGATACTTGAGGTGACATTGGAGTATCTAGGTGACATTAGGGTTTTGGTTGATTTATGTCTGAAGGTGTTATTCTAGTACGAACTCTAGGGCTGTTTGTGACACCTATAGGAATAGCCCAACGGATTTATTGGAAAGAATAACTTTGAGGTGGTTTCGTACCCTACCATAATCTCTTCGTTCGTTCTCCGCTATTAGTGACTTTGGAGTGACTCTTTGTTGCATGTTGAGGGATAGTTATGTGATCCAATTATGTTATTATTGTTGAGAGAAGTTGCACTAGTGAAAGTATGAACCCTAGGCCTTGTTTCCTAGCATTGCAATACCGTTTACGCTCACTTTTATCATTAGTTACATTGCTATTTTTATATTTTTAGATTACAAAAACCTTTATCTACCATCCATATACCACTTGTATCATCATCTCTTCGCCGAACTAGTGCACCTATACAATTTACCATTGTATTGGGTGTGTTGGGGACACAAGAGACTCTTTATTATTTGATTGCAGGGTTGCTTGAGAGAGACCATTTTCATCTTACGCCTCCTACGGATTGATAAACCTTAGGTCATCCACTTGAGGAAAATTTGCTACTGTCCTACAAACCTCTGCACTTGGAGGTCCAACAACATCTATAAGAAGAAGGTTGTGTAGTAGTCATCAAAACACCCCGGTGCCACACTACAGAATCCCAGCCACGCGGTTGCGGTCAATCTCAGACCCACGGATTTGGGTCAGCCTTGGAGATGCCTTCATCGCTGGCATTGGGCTATAGGCTGGAGAGCATGTACGATGCGAAAGAGCAAAGATGAGGGCTCTGTGCTTTTTTCTTCTCGTGCATGGTAAGGAAGAGTATAGCAACGACATCCAATGGCCAACGTGAGGCCATCGTGCGGCGAGGCAGGAGACGGATTCATGACTTGGATCGATCGATCGACACCAAGAAGTAACCAATTTCACCATCGACAGAACAAAAGGAAGACTTGGCTGGATCTTGGACTAGGAATAGTCTCTAAGAGCACCTCCAACAGCCACGCCAAAGAACGCGCGCGGTAAACTGCCCATTTAGCGTGCACGGAAAGTTTTCGTGCGCTCCAGTCGAGATGGGAAACTAGCACGCGGGGGAGAAAGCTGGCGGTCGCGCGCTAGATTTGGCGCACCGCTTCCGGCGCGCCTATAAATTGCGACGCTCGCCACACGACTATCTCGCTGCTTCCTCTGCTTTCTCGCCACACGACTATCTCGCTGCTTCCCCGCTTTCTCGCTGCTTCCTCTGCTTTCTCGCCGCTTCAGCACCCCGCCACCAACGCGCCACCACCATGCCACCATGCCGCCGCGCCGCCGGGGATCTTCGCGCTACTGAGGCGTCCGCGAGCGCCCCTCCGGCGCCTACTACATTGAGATCCGGTCCGGCGACGTCCGCCTCGGTCTCGGCACGTTCGAGACCGCGCACGAGGCCGCCGGCGCGTACGACGCGGCGGTGTGGCGCCTAGAGAGGCCTCATGCGCAGATCAACTTCCACGACGTCTACACGCGCGAGCAGGCGCAAGCCGTCGCCCCTCCGCCTCGTCTTATAACAAATCAGGACCAAGAGGAACACCGTCGGCGGCAGCGCCGCCTCCTCATCGTCGAGGAGGGCGAGCGAGCCATGGCGGAGTGGCGTCAGCGCCACCCGAAGGACGTCGCCGACGAGAACGCCTTCTGGGCGGAGAGGACGGCAAGGCGCGGCACGGAGCGGGCGGACAGGCGTCGGCGGAAGGCACTGGCCATATCGCAGTGCGATCTCGTTAACGCCGGTGGGAAGTCGTTCTTCTCGTCAGACGATGATCATTGGGATGACGTGTGGCTCCTTATCTCGGACAACACCAGCGAAGATGATGATGAGGACGACTCGAAGTAGGTTCTAGTTGCACCGTTTTTATTATGTAGTTGCACCGTAGTTCTTTTATCTATCTATACTATGAACTATGTACGCATTGTGAAATATCTATGTATGGTTTTTATCTATCTAACCTTTTATCTATCTATATCTATGCATATACATCGTAGTCCAGAGTGTTTGTGCGAGAGCGCGCGCTGCATTTTAGCGCTCCTGTTGAAGCTATGCGCACGCTAAATTTATCGCGGCCGCTGGAGCCAGCGCTCCCCGCCGCGTCAAAGCAGGGGATCGATACGCTGCAAACTGATTTTTAATGCGCTGCGCGTTGGACGTTGGAGATGCTCTAACGTTAACCACCTACTTACGAGCTAGTTAGACCTCGATCCGATCGAGTCTACACATGAAAGTCCGATCTAATTAGGGCATCTACAGCTAAGCTTGTTATTAATTAACTCCGGAGCTTGTGCTAGTGGAGTACTTACAGAGCAAACCAGTTAGCATACATACATTGGCACAGCTCCATACACGCATCGTACGCGCGCGCACACGGCCGGACGAAAGAACTAATGGCGAGGCCGCACGCCGTGGTGGTGCCGTTCCCGGGCTCCGGCAACATCAACCCGGCGCTGCAGCTGGCCAAGCTGCTGCACCGCCACGGCGTCTACATCACCTTCGTCAACACCGAGCACAACCACCGCGTCATGGAGACCACGGAGGGCGCCGCTGCCGTGCGTGGCAGCGAGGGGTTCCAGTTCGAGGCGATCCCGGACGGGCTTGTGGAGGCTGACCGGGACGCCGGGGACTATGACCTCGTCCTGTCTGCCGCCACGAGCCACCGGTGCGCGGGGCCGCTGAGGGAGCTCATCCTGCGTGTCAATGGCAGGGCGGGCGTGCCACCGGTGACGTGCGTGGTGCCAACGGCGCTGATGAGCTTCGCGCTGGACGTGGCGCGGGAGCTGGCCGTGGCCAGCATGGTGCTCTGGGGAGGTAGCGCCGCATCGTTGATGGGTCACATGCGGCTCCGGGAGCTAAAGGAAAGAGGCTATTTGCCACTCAAAGGTAATACCAGAGCCAAATTATTAACCATGTTAGTATTTCACAAAAATGTGATGCCATTAATCGAATCATATGCTATACTCAATCACTAGAACGTGTGTGATTTTTACAGTGCATGTATTGTTCATCTTCACATCTTCAAAATTTACACACATGTACTATACATATGTGTTTGAATTTTTTTTTACTTCTGCTGTGTAAACGTATTATAAAAGTCATCTAAAACATATTACAAAAGTTTACAGAGGTGGATTTTTAAAAATAAAGAGCTTCATGAAACTCGTCCTCCATTTAGCATTTTCGGCCAAACTCCTCCCTATTGAGTGGCAACTCAATCGCCAAATCTATGATCAAAATAGGTGTTAGTGGGGAACATTTGAATTACACCTACCAAAATTCTTATGAAAGTCCTACGGTCTAAAAAATACTTCAAAATCGCTTCTGCATGAGGATTACCATAGCTAAGCTATATAACTGAGAATGCATTTCTAATCCAATTGACAATAAATACATAGAAGAGATAATTAATCTGTCATATGATTTATCTAAATTGTTATCTTATAGCCATGTTGCATGCTTTTATCACTGTCATATTGTTACTTTTTTAATTGACGCTTTGCGAACCAGTGAACCAACCCGTGATTAGACTAGCCACAGTGGGAGTAACTTCTAATATCGAGTCCAACTCAGCAAATCTGCTTATGTGGCAATGAGTTAATGAAGAGAGATGTAGTTTGAATAACTTAACTAGTTACTGTAACATCACATGTCCCAATGCAATATGAGTCTATAACCTAATAAATGAAGCTTTGCATGACACAACACTTAGGCTAGTCATAGTGGGGAGTAACTTAGACTAGTGTCATGCATATGACACTAGTCTTTGTTACTACCTTCATAGTGCAAAATAATATACAAGTAGTATCATAGATGATGCATTTATTACATCATAGACTCATTTTGCTTTGGGTTGCGTTATGTTACAGTAACATTTTATGTTACTCCAAACACCTCTCTCCTTATTAACTCTATGCCACATAAGCAAACTTGTCTTGAAATGCACTATGTTATTTGCTAAGTTACTCCCACTATGATCAGCCTTATGTTACTATCCACTATGTAGATAGTAACATAGTCTAGGGATATGTGTATGTTATTACTGTATGTTACTCACCATTATGACTAGTCTTAGGAGTCTATTCTTATAGGGGTGCGCAAAAAAAAACATTTTGTCATTGTGATCAATGCACATCGGAAGGGTCGTTCTGACTCATCAAGACCTCCCATTAAAATAGATCAATCATCTCGCTCAAGGTGCATATGCATGTGTAAGTGAGATTCTCTCACAAGCTATAAAAGTCAAATTATTGCAAGATCAGCTTAATTAAGCGCTTAACTTGATGTTATGATCTAGGGTATACTTTACTTGTAACTACATATGAGCCCCGAGATCCGCTGATCTCTTTATCTAGTACTACATCCGTCCCCAATTAGAGCATCTCCAGCCGTTGGCCCCCAGGCAACTCGGGAAATCGCCGTCTAGGGCCGAACCAGCGCTAAATTCGGTCTGGGGGTGATCGTGTTCCCAACCGACGTCCCCAGGGTCAGCCCCAGGCGCCTGTTTTAAATTTTTTTAACATTTATTTGACTAAAATTCGGCGAACGGGACAAATATTCGGTGAAACAGTACATTACTTCGGCGAACTGAAATAGTTTTTCACATAGATAAAATACTTAAGAGACCGCGACTACAAGTCGAATAACACACTGAGAGAGGCGAAGTCGCCGTCGTCAGCACCGCTGTCGTTGTCCTCGTCGTCCTTCTCCTCCTTCAGGCGGCCGCCCCTGCTGGACCCTGCCCGGGGTCGCCCTAGCGGACCGGTGGCGGCGCATCGTCGTCGCTATCGTTGTCGAGGACGACGACGCCTCCCTCGTCGTGGCCGCGGCGCCGAGCGACGAACTGCTCAAAGGCGCGGTGCTGGTGCTCCAACTTCGTCCATGCTCAGTCTTCACGTGCCCACTTCATGGCCGCCGCGTCGTCAAGCCCTGACTCCGTCTTCACACCGGCGAGCCCTGGCTCCATCTTCACCCAGCGAGCCCCGACTACGTCTTCGGCTTGGCGAAGCGGGGAGGAGTCGAGGAGGAGGCGCGCCCGACCTCGTTGATGACGATGTCGGCGTTCCGGGTGCGCCGGCTGAGCGGCGTCTCCGCGAGCTCGGCCTTGACGCCGAACAACGCCGACGACCCAGATGAGTGGGAGGAGGAGCGGGAGGAGGAAGAAGAGGAGTCGGCCCTCCTTGGTATCCATTGGCCGCCGCTTCGGCGAGGGACCGGGGTGGCAGGGTACGTCAACAGCGGCTCGTTGCCGCCCTCGAGGTGCTGGAGTATGGCATGGAGAGTGCGGCCGGGGGCGCCCTACCACAGGCGGCGACCCTTGCTGTTCTTGGTCCCCCTTACCACCGGCGCCCCGTTGGTGGAGGCCAGCCGCTCCGCCTGCCGGCGCTGGAAGTACGCCGCCTATGCCTCGTGGTTGCCGGCGGCGTACTGCAGGAGGGCCCGCTGCTCCTCCGTCAGCGACGCCCGCACACGGTTAACCTCGTCGGCGAAGTAGTCGGCGCGCACGGTGACGTCGGGCAGTGGGGGAATGGGGACACCACCGGCGCTGAGCTTTCACCGCCCCGATGTGTGCATGTCGGGAGGCGCCGGGCCGTTGGCCTCGAACAGCAGGTAGTCTTCCCACTCGTGTAATGAGTGGCGGCCGAAGCCATTGGCCGCCGCCCCATCACCGGGGAACCTCTCGCCCATCGTCGCGGCTGGGCACGGGGAGAGAGGGGAGGAACGTCGGCGGCGGCGGCGCACGGGGAGAGAGAGAGCTCGGCGGCTGTGGGCGGGGTGCGGCCATAGGCGAGGGAAGGCGCTGCTTATATAGCAGTCGGGGGGTGTGGGCGTCGTGTGTACGCGTGGCGGGAGGTGGTGCGTCGCTGCGCCGTGCCGCCCGTGAGGAATCAATGGAAGGCTGACCGGCGGCAGCCTTGGCATTGCTTCCCCGCGAGAAACCGAGATGATGAGGACGACGAGGCGCAGGGGTCGAGTCGCTGACTCGGCGGGCCCGCCGTTTTTTCGCGTCAAAAATGATTGCCCCAGCGTCCCTGTTGGGGAACATAGCATGCAATTTCAAAAAAATCCTACGATCACGCAAGATCTATCTAGGAGATGCATAGCAACGAGACAGGGAGAGTGTGTCCACGTACCCTCATAGACCGAAAGCGGAAGCGTTATGTTAACACGGTTGATGTAGTTGAACGTCTTCACGATCGAACTGTCGGTTCTATATCCGGCTTATCTCATAGTAGGGGTCCTAAGCTAGGCGTGTTGGAGCGATGGTAACATGGACACAGGATTTACCCAGGTTCGGGGGTCCCTTGAAGAGATAATACCCTACGTCCTGCTTTTGATTGTATTGATATGAGGATAGTACATAGTACAGGTATCTACCACGAGATTGTAGTAATGAATATGATATTGTCTATTGACTAGCCTGTCCTCGGCTTATATATGCACCGTAGGCCTAGGGTTTAGGAGAGCCCTTGGCTTGAGCGCCAAGTCTTGTGAAGTCTTCCTTGTATGCGGCATGGGCTGCCTAAAGTGGCCCATTAGTGAATCGCCATGGGGGTCCTCGGCTCGGCCCACCTGGTCGGGAGACGACGTGGTGAGTACCCCCTAGTCCAGGACACCATAAGTAGGCTCCTGAACCGGTCTTCAAGTTACGGGCGCTCCTCGATTCTTCCGAACTGTTATTCATCTTCGGTCGTCGGTCTTGAAAACTGGTTCAAGAAATCTTCTCATCTTCGATCTTGAGGATCGCCGAAGTGAATCCGAAGAGTATACACGTTGGGTATCCGAGGAGCCCCTTTTAAGTTTTCAGCCTTTATCAATGCGTTGTTATTGTTATGCCACACCTCGGGTTTGAAGTTGTTTTCGGGCGGCAATGTCCTCTTGCGTCTGAGCTGCAATGCCGGACTGCATCTAAGGTATTCTCTTGCAGCCGAACTCCAACGTCGGACTGTATCCAAGCTCCATTGCCGGACTGTAGCCGAGCTCCAACGCCGGACTGCAACTGAGGTGGCACATAGTACCTCATGTTTGAAAAAGTTTGAAGCAATTTATCCGAGCTTAACGCTGAAAAGTTCTCTATGGAGCCAGCCGCTCGCGGCCGAGCTTTATGCCGGAAACATCCTATATGGATTTAGTCACTTGCATCCGAGCTTTATGTCGGATTGCTTTCAAGTTGTGAAATTTATTTACTGATGAGATGTATATAGCCAGTAGCCCTCAAGGTGTGTGTCGGCCTAAAACCCGAGATGTGCATTAGAGGAGATAGTGATCGGCGAATGGGCCCTTGAGAGAGGGTTTTGAGAAGTCACCGTAATATATTAGCTTGATGCCGGATAGGTCCCAGATGATGCCTATTGTTGTCCGAAGACGCGTTTGCCCATAGTTCGGTCAAGTCGAACACTGAGCCCTTTGAATTTTCTGCATTGAATAGGCAATGCAGTAGCCCCCGAGACACTGGTCGGATGGCAACACCATATCAGGGGATCGTTGTGCCCCTTTAATATTAGTAAATTATAAGCTCGAAGCCCAGTAGCCCCCGAGCCTTAATGTGGGCACGGGTGGCCGAATTAAGGATCGATATCCGGAGTAAAATCACAAATTATGTGTAATGATTCTATGTATCCAAGCACTCTGCATCATTAATGCTCGGATCCGCATTGTACAAAAACCTTGTTGACCGACCATCGGCTTCAACCTCTTCGGCCAGTAGCCGAGGAGTGTTTCCTACTTTATAAAGCCGTTATAAGGGCAACGATTTACGGAAAACAAGGCAATCCGGCCATACGGTTTTATAAACAAAGGTATGTAGAGAGATATGAAACATCTTTCAAAGAAAATAATCCCGCCATCGGTTCCTTTCTTTGGGTTGTCATGATGATCATGATCAT